GGACCCAATTTTATTAATATAATTTAAAAACGCTAGTATTACTTTCTAGTATTTAAGCTTTTATTGTACTTTACCTGTATATTATCAAAATAAAGAACGTAAAATACACTAGGAAAGCATATTATAAAGTCAGAGATTATTTAAATGACAAGAACATAGAATAATAGTTAACTACGACAAAATAATTACATGCTTGAGATTATTAAGATATGAATTTAAAATTAAGATTTGACATTTTTGTAATTAAACTTACTGTTAAATTAATTTAATTAAGCAAATTGTATACCATGTAAATGGCAATACGTATTGACACAGCAATGTTATATAAGACCTTCTAGACGTGCGTACACAATAAATTATTTGATTGATTGATTAATAATAAGTAGTCGTTTTTATATTAAACCAAATTTGTGCCGTCTCATTTGTTCTAGGATTCAATTTGTGCAAAAATCTCTTTGATACTCCCTCTGAGTGACCGAACAACATTGTCTCTGTATTGTTTAAAAAAAAAATAAACCAAAAGATACTTATTTATCATATAAGATAGACCGAAGACACATTTTGGGTTGCCGAGCCCAATTACTTTACTATTACGATTAAATTTTTAGCATATTAGTATGAAATAAAATTCCGTAATGTGGCCACAACGATGCTGATTTTTAGTCTTTGCCTGTAGCTATTGGTTTGCAGCACCAGAGCAGTGAGCGGGATGCACATAACTATTGTTGGGTCGTGGAATCAATTATTCAAATATTTTTCTGAATAATTTTCGGTCATTCTCGGACTGGTGTCCACTAGGTAACTGTCCGTGGCAAATTGGAATACTTAAATAATAACAATTACACTGTTCGAGAATGAATGACCGTTGTATATTACACCATTCCAAGATTCAATTAATGAAAGGAATTCCCGTATTTAAAAAATCTTTTTGACAACAGATAATAATAACGCACACACTCAACATAGCCCCGCACTAGGGAAACCCTGTGTCGCGGGTGCCATGGACACACACATAGACAACCACAAATTACACCCAAACTCACGAGAGAAATAAATGTAGTTCATACAAATATTTCGCCCGGCCCGGGAATCGAACCTGGGACCTCTGCGTGCCAGTCCGGCATGGTAACCGTTCGGCCACGGAGGCAGTTATACCGAAACTCCGTAAGTTCTTTGATTGTATATTGAGCAACCTCCATAAGAAACGGGTAAAATGACTGTTGGAATTTGTTAAAACGTCTCTCCTGCACTGCCGCCCAGATATGTAAGTTATGTATAGTTTAGGTTTTGGAACTGTCACATTGTATATAAGTTCCTTTATAAACGAAGAATTTAAAAAATCTGTTTGTCATAATAAATAAATATTTTTCTGTACGTTTCTGTGTTATATCATTGCAATTGCAATATTTTGCGAAAAATATTTCGAGCATTTTGAGACAATTGCACAACTCTAATGTCGTAAGTTAAATAAGGCGAATTCGCTCTGGACCTTTTGGAGAGAAAAGTGTCGTTTTTATTTTGACTTTTAATTATTTTGTGAAATCTAGTTTAAAGTGGAATAGGGTAGTGCTATTGTGCCTTAATCGAAGATTAAAACGCGAAATTATACGAATCTCGAACTAGAATACCCTTATCGGCCCGTTTTAAGGGATCCCGAGTCAATCCAAGCACGCCGCCTCAAATTGCCTATCCTCTTTGTGGCGGCCTTATTTACAGAAACATAATTAAACTTCATGTTTAGGCTGATGGCTTTGCCAAAGCTATAATAAATTAAAAAAAAATAAATAAGGCGATTCATGAAAAAAGATTTTTTTGTTTAAATATCGAATTGATTTTTGTTTAGTTTTTAATTTTTGTATTATACATTCTACCCATTGACCTAATGATACCCATATTGCATTCTACTCAATTTTATTTACAATTTAAGTTATGTTTTCCGAACTTGTAGTTGATTTGTAATAAAAACGAATTTAGAAGTTAAGTATTTAGACGCTTAATTTTAATTGACCTTGAAAACAATCAATAGCTTATCAAACTAGTATTAGTTAACAAATTTAGAACGCAATAAATTGGTGTAATGGGCGTAAAAGTGAAGGGCAAGTCAGGGTCTAGCCTAGATCATGCACACCTTATATCGTCACATGTAGGCCAATGCCTGACATGTCGTTTGGGTAACTAAATGTAATGTGTGAATTTGAATAAACTGCTCTATTACTTATGTTATTTAAAAATTGCTTTTCGTTTAATTAATAATAACGCACACACTCAACATGGCCCCGCACTAGGGAAACCCTGTGTCGCGGGTGCCATGGACACATACATAGACAAACACAAATTACACCCAAACTCACGAGAGAAATAAATGTAGGCCATACAAATATTTCTCCCAGGACCTCTGCGTGGCAGTCCGGCATGGTAACCGTTCGGCCACGGAGGCAGTTCATTAAAAACGGGTTCGGTATTTACGTGCCTATCAATACCTGTCAATGACTGTCATGGAAACAAATATCGTGTAATATTGCAGACATCACTATAATAATGTTTGGATTTTCGTTTTATTTGTGATTTTGTACGGGTGTCGGTCGTATCGATAACGTAACCTCGACAAGTCAGAAACATTTTCGTCTCTCTGCCTCAAAGTTTGCCTGGAAGAGATCGCTCTTAGCGATAAGACCGCCTTTGTAGTTAGTTCTAAGTTCTTTATATACTGTTTTTTGTGGTTTGAGTCCCACACACTCTTTTCAATTAGCACGAGAGCAGCAGATGCAGTACCGGAGGAAACAATATGAACTATTGAACGTGCGAAATCAGAGGTAGAGTCTGTGTCGTTTCCGTAAGGGTGCGGTCCATAATGTTTCAAACAAACGAACTACAAATGATTAAAGGCCCGCTGTGCGATCTGAGTCGCTCGTCTTAAAAATGGAAAGAACAACAGTTCTTTTGGAATGTATAAAAGTCCTTTTAAAAGGTACCCCGCTAGACCTAGTTCCTTCACTTTACACGCACAACTATAAATGTGACAGAAGCGGTCCACGGAATTGACAAGAACAATGCAGAACTCTCCTACAAGTTTTGGTTGGTCTATGCTATTGTCTATGTTGCATATGTATATTTGATAATATGAATTAAATTCCTAGAGTCTTGGGTATATTATTCTAAGATATCTGGAACCAAAGATATTCCAGTTTGAGATTTTAGAGTCCACAAGGCACCGTGAAAAATGACCTGTTACTTAAAGATATATGGTAGCCTCACCACCATAAGGTACATGTTTAATTAGCATTTATATTTATACATCTATGTAGAGATATATACTACATAATAAAGCGCTAGTAATCAAGACAACAAATGACCTCATAACACACTATCAATCTCCTTCACAATAGTATGCGGAACTTCATAAAGACCGTCTACCATTGTCCGTTTTCACGTAGTGGTTTCGTTAGATCTGCTGTAGACTGTATACGGAAATAAATGTGCTATGAAACGATCTCATCAAGATTACAATAGCAAATCAGCGTTGCTATAGAATAAATTGAAACATTTATTGAAATAAATGTTACGCTATATAGATTCTACGTTCATTTATTTATTACGTACAAGTTACTGTATCTACGAGTACATGTAAAAGCATGTCTCATTGTTAAGCAAGCGTCTCTAGAGCAAAGATACCAAAAACCTAACCTTAACAGACATTAAACGTTGTTAAGAAACCAGCGAGATAAAACTATCATTCGTTTCATTTCAACTCGATAGGTGGCGTTACTGGTATACTAAAACGATCCATATTATCGATATTCTGATTTCCTGGGTACACGTATTTATATCATAGTAGATAAGGTAATTAAAATTATGGATATTGTAATTAGGCTTAATATTCTTGTAAGTGTTCATACATTAAGAATTTGCTCTAGTAACGGAGTAAAACCGTTGTATCATTGTAACCTAATGATTTCCAATGCTAACTGTTGAAGAGTTTTATTGTATCGTTTTTTTTGGGAAAAAATCCCAAAAAGACGATGATATTTGTACTAATTAGTCTAAACCTGACCTTCCCATCACTTTATTAACAACAAAGATTGGGAAAACTCATCCTAACAATGAGAACATTGCAGTGGGAAACCGTTGACGTTTATGAAATGAGCAAATATGCATCCATTGTGTTCTGAGTGGCAGTAAGAAGTGGCACAATCGAATGTTGCAAAGGAAAAGGTAATGTTTAGTTGACGAGGTGTTTTTGTGCTTGACTTAAGTGAGGATTACTTACAGCATTGTGAGATAATGAGGAAAAACAGGCGTTTGGGAAATATTTGTTTTCTTGTAACGAAATTGTACGTTACGAAAAACAAAGGCTATGGATAGACAGTTCCAGTGGTGTAAATTTCTTTTCGCTCTCTAAGAAATTACAATAATCTTTGTAAAAATAAAGAAACTTACCTTTATATTGTTATTCTTCTTTCTTGGTTCTTTTGCGATCTTCTTGAGTGCACAATTAAAGCAAAAACGATTAAGGACTATACAGAAATACAATTATAAATAAATTTCAAAATTTGCATGCTTGATTGATGGAGATCGGAACGTATTTCAACATAGTCCTTTAAAAACCGATTGGTGCAAAGCCGAAATAAACTGTGAAATATTTTCCACTTATAACAAATTTATTACAAACCTTTTATTTCTTTTTTTTTTAAAGTTACATTACAGTATCTCAATCGATATACAAAATGCCCGATCCATGTCTGTATTTACATTCTTAGAAATGGTAACGATTATTTATTATTATCATTAGAATCTAAATCGTAAAAAAACACATTAAATATTCTCTAATCTAACCTATGACAATTTGTAATTGAAAGTCTTTATACCAAAACGAACTAACATAATTAATATACACTTTTTGGTACACAAAAACTTCCATTCAGTAATCTAAGTTAAAGCTTAGAAGTTATGAATCTCTAAATATATGACTACAATGAAACTGTTTCTTTTTTGTTATTTACATAAAGAAGAAATATTTTAGAAGTATACTGATTGTATGCAAGCCCAATAACGACATTAGTTGGACTCGAAAAAATACTTGGAACTTATCTCATTAACAATATGTGGACAAAAACTTTTCGGTAAGTGACGCAGGCTTCCAAAAACATTAGAGCTATGGTTTAATATTTTATTTTCAGTCAGTTCACATAATTATGGCCAGGGAAACCGGATTAATCCCGTACTAAATCTTAAAACTTACCACAAACTCTGTTAGTTAAGTGTCTCCTGTGACTGGTGTGGTCGTAGAAGTAATATTTTTCCTAGGAATAAAGGCGGGTCGTCCAGGTCGTAAGGCTAAATAATAAGGTTTCCTTTCAGTAGTCGTTTTTGGTGCTTGTGTAGTTGTAAAAGCTTTGGCTGGTTTTGAAATAGGCTTCCTTTTAATATCTACAGGGACGTTCTGATTTCTATTACCAGTGAACCGTGTTTTTGAAGGGTTGAACGTTGAAGTCTTATTGGGTTTTATTAGGAGATTGTTGTTGACAGTGGCATTTATTTTCTTGGTAGGACGTGGGACAATGCTAGGTCTTGTTACATTTGATTTGATTGCAGGCCTTCTTGGGAATGCGAATTTGGATCTTTTAGCATCGAGTGGAGATTTTATAGTAGTTGTTTCTTCAGGAACAGTTTCTGTTGCAGATATTTCGGTAGTAGATGCAAAAGTTGTTTGCATTTCTGTAGTGGATTTTGTTGAAACAGCATTTGTAGTAAGGAGTTCTACAATAGGACTTGTTTTTATAGTTTCTGGAGTTGCAGTGGTCGTTGTTGTACTAGTGGACGAAGATTCAAGCCCTTTTGGTAAAACAGAAATGTTTACAGGATATTTTATTGTGGTTTCAGTAACAGGTGCTCCCTTAAATTCCTGTCCTTTGGCAAACGTGATTATGTTACGACCCGTCTCTGATTTAATTATATCTAATTTCACGATGTTGGCCTCTTCTTTTTGTGTCGGTATAGATGCGGAATATACTACGAAAGGTTTGTTTCCGTTATCTACAATTTTTCTAGCCATTGGGTTCTCAGTTTTAAATAAAGCTTCTAGAGGGAGAGTAGATGGTTCACTCAGCATGCTTCTCGGGGTGATTATTTCGAAAGTTTTAGCTGCTCTGTTCCTTTCGTTTTCATAAGCAGCTGGTACAAATTGCCACTGAGGAAACTGTTCATCTTCAGATTTATCTGACTTTTTGTCATCGTTGATATATTTTAAGAAATCATCATTTGGAACATGTACCACTACATCTTTAGCATTGATTAAATCTTTTGGTTGATTAGTCACTTTGTTGACATGTCTATAAGCTTCATTCATACTTTCAGAAGCAATAAGATTTTCTCTCGGAGCATCGGCAAAGTTCACTAGTGCCCTAGCATTTCTAGCTTCGTCAATACGAATGAGATTATCTGGAGGATTTTCTACTGGATAAACATGTCCCAATTTTGTTAGGTATATTGGAATTTCATCTTCAAAAATTTTGATTAGACTAAATCTACTGACTTCTCCAATTTTGTCGACAGTGGGTTTCTTTTCGACCATGATTTCTCCTTCTTCTATTAGAGTAGTTTCATTTTTCTTATTTAGGCGATGTTTATCTAATTTAGAATTTACTTCAACCACTCTGCTAACCGAGAACAATTTATTGTACTGAGTCTTTACGATTGGTGAAGGTGTCGGTGCAGAAGTTGTTTCAAGTGTAGCTTCAGTAGTAGTTATTTCTTCCCTTGATTCTGTGGATGTAGTAGTACTATGCGCGGCAGTTGAAGTTTGAGTATCGGTTTCAGTTTGCGTATTAGTTGTGTAATCTTGAGTAGATGGTAAGTTTGTAGTTCCTTCTGTGAATTCCAAGTAATCATCTGTGCTTAAGTCAAACTCATCCATGGTGGTTTCGGTTTCAACTGTGTTAGAAGTAGTGATATCGCCGTATTTAGTATTACCTGAAGATGTTGTCGTTTCTGTTATTGTCAAATAGTCATCATCCTCCGTTGTACTCTCAGCGCCATCAGTGGGTGCATTTGTTGTAGTCAGTTCTCCATCAGATCCTTTATCTGTCACTAAATCGGAGATTTCTTTTTCTGTACTTGATTTACTACTGTAACCGACTGGAACGTTTTGTACACGCTTTTTAGTATCATTGATAGGTTTATTACCTCCAAATCTATTAAAAATAACAGTTCTATTTTGTGAACCAGTAACTCGTTTAGGTAGTTCTGTAGTTGAAGAAGTCGTTCTAAAGGTGTTTGAATTAACAACACGAGGTTTAAATGTTGGTCGTCGTGAGTTGGGTACAAATCTATTTCGTAGTTGATCTTCAGCTTCGTCATCTTCGTCATGTGAATCTTCGGAAGCATTGTTTTCTTCTTCATCTGGTCTTGTTCTAGTAAACAGCTGACTTGGTGGCACTAATACCAACCGAGTTTCGGGTTCCTCTGGCTCATCAAGATCTTCCTCTAAAGAATATTCTTCTTCTACTACTACTTTTTTGGTGGTCCTTACACTAGTACTGAACGGTCTTCTTGTAAAAGTTCTTGCAGAGAACGGTCTCCTGGTGACAGTTGCTCTGACTGACGATACTTCAGCATCTCTTTCCACCGTTGAGGGACTAGTGTAGGCACCAGAATTAAATTTACGGCTAAACGTCCGGCTACTAGAAGGTGTACTTTCAGTAGTCGATGTAAATGTTCTCTTGAGAGGTCTATAAGGTAATCTATTGCGAATTGAGGGAGTAGTTGTAGTTGTGCTGCTAGTAGTTGAAGTTTCGGGATGAGATTCCTCTGCTTCTGTAGAAGGCGTGTCCTGAGAGGTGGTCTGTTCGTCTTTATTATTCGAAATGTCTATGGTTTTCTGTTCTGTTTCTATAACAACGTCGGGTTTTTTATCAATTTCAATCGACTCTGTAGAAGGATTTTTGTCTTCTTTTTCTAATTGTTCCTTTTCAAGAGAGGAAGAATCTTTGTCATTTTGTTTTTCCGGAGATTCTATGAGACTGCTTTTATCTTTATTTGTTACTGGTTCTTCAACTTCTTCCGACTTTTCTTCGATGGGCGCATCAGGAGGTGCTTCAGAGGTAACAGGTCTACTTTTCTCTCCATAGTTAGCTACAATCTCGGTAGTTATATCTTTAGCCGTATGAAGTGAACCAATAGATTTAGCGATTATTTCAGGTTCATCTTCGATGAGTTTAATTTTCTTTCGAATTATTTTGCGAATCCTTGTAGGCGTAGATGAAGGAGATTCGGTAGATGTGGAACTAGGTTCAAATGAAATTGTAGACGATGTAGGCCTTCTACGAATTACTCTGAATTTCTTTTTTCCATTCTCATCCGAGATTTGTACAGCTTCTGTTGAAATCGTGCTTTCGGTTGTAGAACTAACTGGTGTTCTTAGCTTTTTAATGACAATACGACGTTTTGGTAGTTCTTCTACTTCATCAATAAATTCTTCGTTGTGTTCGTTCTCGGTGATAGCACTTTCTGACAATGATATGTCGTCTGCCTTTTCTTCAAATTCCTCCTCGTCAGTTTCATCGGGTAATGCTTGTGGTGTTGTCACAATACGCGACGGGAAAGGCAATTTTCTTGGATGATTTTGTGGTGAAATAGTTGAGGAAATAAATCTAGATCTTCCGAATGGCAAACGGGTGGGTAATTTCGACGTGGCGACGATATTTTGTTTATTTTGTTCATCTCGTTCCTGTTCTGTAGCTGCTGTAGTAGTTGATGTTCGTGCAAATGGCCGTGGTGTAAATCTGGCAAATGTGGGTCTCCTTGGACTAGGCGGCTCTTCTGACGCAAAAGCTTGTTCTTGAACGGGTGTTGTAGAACTAGGACTAAACCTTCTTCGGCCTCTAGGAATAATACTCGAAGGCCTAGCTTCAATAGTAGCGGCAGATACTTCACTATCCACGACTCTGTCAGGTACGGTTGTTCTACCTCGGAAACGTCTATCTGTTCTTGGACTAAAGCTTTGCCTTTGAGTGAATTGAGGTGTGTCAACATCTACAGGAGTAAGCGACAAAATTTCATCCCTACTTATTTGAGGTCTGAATTGTCCTCTAGAGACAGGAGATGCAGCAGCAGGAACCGAGTCTTCAACTCGTGCTTGGAATCTAATTCTAGGTCTACTTAATCCGGTTTCCCTTTCCCTATTTTCCCCATTAATATCATCTCTAGGCTCGACTTCTCTACTGTCAGGAGTAGTCGATCTGATCCTTCGAGATATTTCTACTGTTTCATCCGAGTCCGTGGATATTTCGTTGGGTTGTTGAGGGCGGCGTCGGCGAACAAAAGTATAATTCCTGGAACTCACCTGAGTGGTGGAAGATACGGCTGGGGCTTGAGTGGTGGTTGTGGAACCTCGTCTTCGGATCGGTCGCCTAGTCGCGGCACTGGATGGAGCCACAGTGGTGGTCGTGGTCGTAGTCGTCGCGGCTTCAGTGGCTTCAGCGTCTGTCGTCTCGGGAGTTTCAAGTTCAGAAGCACTCGGGGAGTTTAACAGGGAAGATATTTGGACAGCAAGAACAGTGGTAGGTTCAGGTGTGGAAAGGTCTTCAGGGGTAAGGGTCGAGAGACGAGCTCGTACGATGGAGGTGTACTTAGGTTGGATTTCGGAAACAGGGGAAGAAATCTCTCTTTCTAAGGCAGTTTCTTGACTTTCTTCTTCAGCTTCCGAATATCTGTAAACGAAGAACGAGGATCATAAGTTTGTATCGTAAAAAGTCCATTTGAATTTTAATTATACTCTAATGATGTTAAATCAACTATAGGTGAATAGACATAAGTAGACTTACTGTACTGTGGTAGGCACTTCAGTTGAAGGTCGCTGCCTTCTTATAGTAACATATTCTGGGATGTTTTCGCGCCTTGCCGCCGCTATGTCCAAAGTGTTAGCTGTCTCCGACACAGTCACAATGGATTCAGGTCTCTCAAACAGTGCGTTTCTGAAAACACATCGATACTGATCCATAACTCCAAAGAAATCTTCGAAGACTTGTGAATTCATACGTTTCACGACATTTAAAATTTAGGACCAGACCATGGGACCTGTAAAGGGCCCGAAACGTTGGTTGGTTTGATTTAAATCTGGAAAAATAGTTTCAATCTTCGGCATCTCAAAATTCACAATAGCAGTTTTGATCTCACCTCGATGCAGTATCATCCGCAGTATCAGATGTCGAGACGACCGTGGGCCTCGCTCTGCGAATATTCACGTATTGCAATGGCTTAGAAGTGGTGGCGACTTTGGGTTCTTCGACGGCCGCTCTTGCGCGCTGCAGCTGTTGTGGAGTATCGTCTATATCTTCTTCCAGCGCTTCGTCCAGAGGTAGCTTGGTGGAGGGGCGTGCGCGATTGATTGTCGTGTACCTAAATAACATAATAAGAGATATTAATAGGAGACAATAAAATTCCACAGAAAAAACTTGCTTTAGTCAATTAGTAAATTGGCGGAATTATATACCCATGAACATATAATCGAGGTGGCCAATCTACATGGCATATTTTAGAATATTTTGATTATTGTTTAATTACATCTGTACACTGTGTGTTTTTTTTAACTGGGACAGTACGAGGAAATCCGAAACCATAGGAGATACAGGGAAACTGTCTTAGGAACCATTAACTTTTTTTGTGAAACCAATTTTCGCATTGTCAATTTGGATAACTCACGCTTGACCAAAAAATTGACAATGCCAAAATTATTTTCACAAAAAAGACTTCATGGTTCCTAAGACAGTATTTCTATATCTCCTATAGGTTCGGGTTTCCCCATATTGCCCAATACAAAAAAAAAACACTGCATATTATAGAAAGTTATGAGTGTTACAGTGTATTGTATAAATTATCATAGCAATGTAACAACAACAACAAATTAACACGTACTGTGGTCTGTCCTTCCTTAAAATCTTGTCTCTATCTTCCGATGGTTCTAGTCCGGCGTTTTGAGGTCCTCGCCGACTGTTTTGTGATGAGTTCTGATTGGAGATACTCGGCAGTCTAATTTTGACAAAAATGTTTTAAGTTTTAATTATGCAGTGACTTGTTTTCCGATATCTTGGTAACGACGTTTATCTATACAACAAATTATCTTCCTTAGTATTCTACTTACTTTCCACGCGTGCGTTCAAGTACTTTCTGATATAGTTTCTTGCTAATGGGTAACGGTGTCGTTGTGATTGCGCCTTCACTTCTTGGTGAAGACTCACTTAAATGCAACTGCTTCTCTAGTTGCTCCACGCCTCCTGTAAACATATCAATATAATGTTAACAACCTAAACCGTTTCTATTTTAATAAGGATTTTTTTAATGTTTTCAATATGAAGATTTTAATTATTATGACAAAGATCGAAACACTAAAAAAATGAAAAATGCATTCGCTCTGGCTAGATTCGAACTAGCACCCTCAGACATGCTGATTATGTTTGAACATTTCACCATTTACAAAGACTCACCGACTTTCTTAATGAGGTCAATCAGTTCCTTAATAACTTTGGGATCCTCTGCGTCTATGTCAGCTGCGTCCTCTTCAACTTCGTCCACGTATTCTTCTTCCTGAAAAGCAAGTTACATAATTAATTGAGTACCATGTATAATCTATTTTTTTTACATGATGTTGTGCTTTTGATTCGAAAAATGAAAGAAAAAGTAGAATATTAGAGCAACCAGGAGCCCAATCGCGCTAAATGCCAAAGAAAATACGAAAACTAAACAAAACATAAAACGCTGTCAATGTGACATGTTGTACACATTTGATATCGCGTTAATATTTTAGCGTTTTAACTACATATGTATCGCTGTATAAACGTATTTACTTTTGACAGGCCAATTTTCAAATTTTATGTCACAGGAAAAACCAAAACTAAGCCAAATAGAAAACGCTGTCAATCTGACACGTTGTGCACATTTGCTATGTGCTACAGGTTATACCTCAGGTTCAGGAGTGGTAGTAGTAGTTGTCGTGGTGGTTCTAAACAACAACGAATTCTTTGTGCTGAGTTTGACAGGTCGTCGGGTAGTGGTAGTCGAGGTGGTGGTCGTAGACGGTGCTTTTGTTGTCGGTGCTTTCGTAGTTGCGCTTGGTTTCTTGCAGAGCACGTTGCGGGCGAAATCACAAGAGTCTGCTGCCTTGTTGAAGAATAAACCTGAAAAATTGCGACTTTAAGATTAAAATATTATTATTTCCTTAAGGGCAGCCGTAAGGCTTGGGCCAGAGTCAGTTTCGAGGAATGCAGTCAGTTAATGTAGATCAATAGTTTCAAAGAGTGCAGTCAGATAACATTGGTCAATAACGCCAACTTTAAGGCAGCAGCAAGCTATCGAAAAAAAAAAAAAGAAATTGAATTTTTATATCCTTGACAGATATGTCAAAAATATCTAATTAAAAGCCTCTCAGTAGCGTGATTCGCGTAAGTTCAAACTGTCAAAATATCGTTGAAGCTACGTATTCGTTCGATTGAAGTCCTGTCCAAAATTGGTATTCACGTATCATTTGAACGAACGTTGATATGAATAGAATCGAAACGTAACGACTAATGAACGACATCTGGGATTGTCAAAGGAGATCCGCCAAAATGACCCCAGGCCCGGCGCCAAAATAATGTAACTCAGTTTTTAGAGTAAAAATAGCAATAATATTATATAGTTTCGGTATTGCTAAATTCACATGCTAACATAGTTTTTTTGCCTGTTGAATTTTCATAGGCGCTTTATGAAAAATTCTATTTATTAGAGAAGCGTCGTCCTTTTTAGTTCATTACCATTGTAATAAATAATTATGGCATATAAGCATGTATATCAATCATATTATATAAACATATTTCATTTGCAGTTATATTTTTATTTAGAAAAAAAAATAGTATAAACTTCCCATAAATAAATAGAAGAATCAAGTCAAATGTTTTAGTTTTAGCTTTTTGTTTGTATTATATAATGATAAATATATCAACATTCGCATAAAGGTACAACAACAAATACGTTCAAACAAATAATTTAAATAAAGTATATTTGTATTGTTATATTATCGCTTTACGCGACTTTACTTAATGGCCGCATGACCTTCAAGCAATCGGCAAAGAAAGGATGAACACGCATGGATGAACGCACCTGTGACGTGAGGGCACAACTGGATACATCTTATTGTCTCGCTCACATATAATGGTTTAGAGGGAGAAACACGCAGACGCCCGCTTTGCTTTGGCGTGCTCTGCTCACGCGCAGTCCTACGCTAACGTTTGTTGTGTTGTGTACTGTGAACTGTGCGATACCTTACCTTGATCTTTATTTTACTTTGTTTAACCCTCCCGGACTTTTGATTTTCTTGTGAAATGGCAGACGTTTGTATTTTGTGTACACGATCATTACGGCAACGTCGTAGACATTTCATAGTTTACAGTACAGTACATACATGCTTATACTCCATAATGACTAATTACAAGATTAATGAACTAAAAATGACGACATTTCTCTAAAACATTTAATTTTACAAAGAGCCCCTATTAAAATTCAACGGGCAAAAAGACAATGTTAGCATGTGAATTTAGCAATACCGAAAGTATAATTATAATATTTTTGCTATTTTTACTCTAAAAATTGAGTTACATTATTTTGGCGCCGGGCCTGGGGTAATTTTGTATGGGATTTGGCGGATCTCCTTTGACGTTTAGTTGTCGAAAGTCTATTGAAAGATCTGTCAAAATTTGAGCAGAATACTTTTTTTCTTCTTCTTTCCATAAAGGAAAAGGCAAAGGTTTTACACCATACAGCCAAGTCTTGGTACATTATTAAGTCTTTTGAGCCATGTCTTCGTTTAATTATGTTTCTGTAAATATGGCCGCCACAAAGGGGATAGGCAATTTGAGGCAGCGTGCTTGGATTGACTCGGGATTCCTTAGAACGGGCCGATACGGGTATTTTAGTTCGAGATTCGTATAATTTCGCGTTTTAATCTTCGATTAAGGCACAATAGCACTATCCTATTCCACTTTAAACTAGATTTCACAAAATAATTGAAAGTCATAATAAAAACGACACTTTTCCCTCCAAAAGGCCCAGAGCGAATCCTTGAGCAGAATACGTATGACTTGTCGTTTAGAATCGATTTAAGTTCAATTCCTATACCAGAATACGCTTTAACGACTTTAAAATTGGACTCGTTGACATTCGACTGTCACACGTGAATACGAAAAAGCAATTCAACGACTAAATCGCTACGATATCATAACGGTTTGATTACATGAATTACCCCACAGGTCTAAATGACACCGCGGCACAACTTAGTATGGATTGGTATGACGCCTCACATACAAATTTACTTTGCTTGAAATCCTACTTAATATAACCTCAACTAACCTTAGAATATAATTTTTTGACGTTTACACATTTCTTTGATTTAATGAATGAATAGTTGAATGAACCGAAAAATAACATATTAATTAATTATTTGCTTCTTGAGGCAGGACTAATCTATAAACTTTTAATTAGAAATGGAATAAACCAATTTTCTTACCAGAGGGACAAGTGAATTGGTGAGCGACGATGCCTAGGTTGGACGGTCCGGAGTCCAGACACCAGAAGTACTTCTTGCAGTCGCGAGGGTGAGGGAAGAAACCTTCGTCAGTGCACTTGAAATCTGAAGCAAACGTATTAAATAAAAAATATGAATACAGATCACTTATAATAGTGATGGCTAACGTTAGTTTTCTTTATTCTACTTGAAGTTAATATCTTGTCGAAGTTAAAGCGCTAAACAGAGATGGTTGGCGCCCATTTCACCGATAAAAGCGGATGTGGCTTTAAAAGAAGGCATAAATATTCGAAAATATATTAGAAGGCCATATTCTATGAGATAGATCTACCTGAGCCTGGATCTGGGGTGGTAGGAGGTTCAGGGGTAACGATATTCCATCCTGGTGTGGTACTGCTTATCGATTGTCCACTCTTGCGCTTGTTGCTGGAATTGAAAATGTAAGGAAGATTTAATTTAGGAATGTCAAGTGTCTGCTGAAGACGATACTCACAGGGCGTATCAGAGAGAAAATCCTAACGACTAACTGGTTATTATTGAAAATCAAACTATTTTTAACCGATTTCAAAAAAGGGGAGGTTCTCAATTTGTGTGTTTTTGTATGTATGTTACGCGATAACTCCGGTATTTGTGCACCGATTTTCATAATTTTTTTTTTTTTTGAAAGCGGGTACCTCCATAGCGGTCCCATTTAATTTTGAAGAAGGTCATCCAGCTCTAAGAGTGGCTATTGACGCATGAAGATTCATTTTTATAAACAGCGCCTAAATTTTATTATAAGGAGCAATTATTTTAATGGTCGATTTTGCTATTCTCTAATTCAAGGCGTTTTTCTCTCTCAGTATACTTTGAGTAGTGAGAACCGATTTATTTTATTTTATTTTCTCCTGTGTCAAGTTCCGTATAGTGGCGAACTAGGGGATGAATCCGTGTTTGCGCACTTTCCGGTAACCGATTTCAAAAAACCTTGGTAAATACTTTTGAGGTCGGTTTTTTAGTATTCTGTACTGATTTTGGATCTAAATGGAATATATTTGTTATCTTGCTGACAAACCGAACGTATTAGCCTCTTTACAGGGGGGTCTATTCTCGTTCTCCGTTCAATATCCATCCGGTACAATTACTGTCAAATGAGTAATACTCGCCGAATTAAAAGACGATGTCAAATATAAAGCTTCATTCGCACCATGCATCTTTCAATTACTTTATTTATTATTTTGACAGTGTAATTGTTTCGGACAGAGATCGGAACGAGAACGAGGATACAGTCCAAAACGTTTGTTTGGTTTAAAAAACATACATACGTGATTTAGATTTAAAAAATAGTTTCATTTGCAATGTTTTGCAATCGCGAAAACCTGAGAATTCGACAATCTAGAAAAGTTCATGTAAAATGTAATTTTATTTATATTTACAGTTGATTTTTGAAAGTTTTTAAAAATTTATTGACTTAATAACTGGTTATTATTTACATTTTATATAATATTACACAATAGGTTTGTTTTCTAATAAGTCAATCGACGCACTCAAATAGTTTGTGCTCAATATTTCGATTCATCCGAAGAACAGAGTCCGATGTGATTATATAGCGAAAAGAGAATAAGTACATTACGAGAACAATTTCGTTATTCAAACTAAGGCCTGTGTAAAGGTGTTTTGAGAATTTATATATCTTATTTCGTTTCGGAAATATAAAATCGAACAAAGGTCAATCTGACATCCATAGCGAAGAAGTACGAACGAAATGTACTGTGGTCCAGAGAACAAGTAGTGTTGCACATAGACCTTTGTTCTACGAATGAGTCGACTTATCGTTTGATTGTTTCCAAATATTCTTATTATCTTACCTAGTGGTAGACTTGACGGTGGTGGTGCTACTCTTGGGTCGGTTGCGTCTCCTGTTGCTTCTAGCCGTTGTTGCCGCTCGGGGCTTGTCAGTCACGATGGCATTATCAGTAGAGCTGTGGATACGATTCTAAGTTTAAGTACTTGACGGGTTAACAAAAACTGCACGGGAAGCCGGGAAGATTACGGAAAAAACGTAAGCGTAGTGACGACACTCTGCTACCAATGCGTATGGACTTGTCAGATATACGAGTATCCGAAGATACCAGCAACATCACGATATCAGCTCGAATTCTTATTTTTCCTGCAGCGCCATCTTTTTACAAACGTATATGTGTGTTCTATTTAGCTCATTCGATATAAAAGAAAAAATTGGTATATAAACATTGACTTACAATTATATGGACGTCGGGTCCGCGCTAAAAAGTGTCCGAACTTATAGGGCGTTAAAATCGTATACAGAGCGTCATTCACGCTCTAGTCTTCGTTTGTTCGACTGACAGCGAAGCAAGCAAAATTATACAGTACTGCGATGACATTACAATTTAAATTCAACGTCTTAGCTTTTTCATGTTCCTTTAAATGATCTACGTTTAAATAGGTTGACTTGGGAATTTTTTTTCTTGGTTTTTGTATTAGACCCGTCGTCCATTTATTTGTAAGTCAATGTATATAAAGTGCATATTGAATACAGCGGTTTTTTCGTAAAATTTCGAGGTAAGTTTGTGTTTTTTTTCTATCGTGAAAATGTTTAGGAATTGTGTTTTGACACCCTATAGTAATTAGTGTATATATCCTCAATTTTACTATATATTTTTTCCAAAGTGGTTGTTTCAACATTTTCACTATTATGCGGGACCAACCAAAGCCATTTGAGGTTACATTGACTCTTAATACGTCAGCGTCTTCTTCACTTTATACATAATAATATTAGTGCAATAAAACTTACCCGAGTCGAACAATATATGACTCCTTAGCAGCTTCAATGAGAGGGTAGGGCTTGCCGTGGCAGGTCCCGCGGAAATCGTCATTGTCGATAGACCAAAACATAATACCTGTTGAAAATTTTTATTATAAATTATTAATACAAAGACACTTAGAAAAAATTCCTTCGATTCGGCCGGATTCGAACCGACGTCTTCTAGCAAACCGTGTCAGATACTATATCAACAAGGCCACAGATCGAACCAGTGGACCTCACGTATTTTTCTATATGCTTGTTGTCGGATCTTTCTATTTGGTTTTCACTGACTTTTTAGCCGCCATATATGGGAAATATATGAAAGTATTTTCGTCACCCAGTTAGGTAAATTTACAGCTATCAGACCTGGCTAGACATATCGCTATTAAAAATACTCCACCAGTTTGTTATAATTATTAATACAAAGATCGAATACTTAAAAATAATAACATGACCTACTCATAAATTATTGAAACAACAAACAAGAAATCTTGCTATTAATACACTTCTTAAAAAAAGTAACTTACAAAGGTTTATGATGGTTTGACTACTCTATAATCATTAATATAATCACCTCCAAGACCATTCTCAGCCACATATTCGGCCTTCTTTCTAACAATGTCGATGTCATCGTACCCAACCCACTGGTTGCCTTTGTAAGCTACCGGACCCATCGCGTTAGGGTTCGGTTGTACCACCGTCCAGGGCACATCCTCCTCCTCTTCTTCTTCGGACTCTTCATCCTCCTCATCAGTGCTCTTCTTTTTCCTCTCTTTGGGTTTTAAAGCTTCGCAAATCTGAAAAATTTAATGGACTTTAGGAAACATGAGGCTATAAATACTAAGTATCAAATAATACAATGCAACCATTTTGTTTTGCAAGTTATTAACTCAATTAATTTTGGCGCCCAACACGGGTCTTCAGATTTATGAGATACGGGTTGTATAAGAGTTGATTGCAAACATTTCCACGGATTCAGTATTGTTAAAAAAATTTGACCAAATGAAACTACTGGTCAAAATTTACATTTTATTACAATGGCACCCAGTGTGGGACTGTAACTGTATTCTTACCTCATAGTAAGCCAAGTATCCCTTCTCTCTGGTCGCGTCTCCCTGTTCTCCTGGACCATCCGCAGGAGACCCGATCTCCACGGCGTCAGGGTTGAAGAGTGTGTACGATCGCCCGTAGGTCGGGATGCCGAGAACTAGTTTGTCGCGGTCTGCGCCTTGCTCGAGGTAGAACTTGATTGTGTAGTCCTATAATGAGAATAAGTAATTATATTAACACTTGGGATATCTTAGGAAATTTATAGCGTTTTTTAAACGCCTCATATGTGAAATGTGGGTCACATCTAAAAATTTATATCAAAATTCTTTGTAGATATCTGTGCCATAAGTTATTTACACAGCGCTGATATTAAAAAAAATAAAAGAATTGTAAGATTGTGCACTTAATTTTGTATACCATCCTAACCTACCTAATCGTATTATAAAATCAAACCAATTAAGCGTTAAGCATGTACTTTTTTATACCACGTTTTGCGTTCCAGAGCGAAAATAACAAAAAGGAACAACTATTATTGAAATTTCTTAACAGAGAAATATAAGGGTCATCGATTATAATACTTACAATGTTGAGTTCATTGTCTACACTGTACTCGTTGGGTTCTTCAAGAGGGTACAGCGGCGCGTGGTGATTGACAGCGGGCTCGAACGCTGAGTGGTAGTCGTAGGTCAACAAGTTCATCCAGTCCAGATATCTGAAACAGAAAAAGTCTATATCAGCTAAGTTCAAGTTAAAGAAACGACGCTTAATGTCTTCTGTGACGCCCTCATAAGGAATGTGGTGTAAAATATAATATATATAATACCCACAACGTTGTTTATTGTTTCAATTTAAATAAGTTAAGTTATATCTCTTTCAGACGCTATCTTACTTTAATAAATATACTCAAGCGAGCAGTTTGTAAGTTTTGTTTTTTACAAAAATCAATAAAAGCTATGTAAAAATGCATAATGCGAAGTATAAGTATAAGTATTAATAATTATAACAAACTAGTGGAGTAATTCCACAAAAAATAATTGAATATCAATTCAATAAAAATTTAATTAATACAGTGAATAGCGACATCTCTCGCCAGGACTGGTAGCTACCAGCTACCAGTCCTGGCGAGTCCTGGCTTTACAGCTGTAAAGGTACTAACTGGGTGATAAATCTTAGTTGGTATAGCGTCTGACACGGTAGGCAAGAAGACGTCGGTTCGAATCCGACCGACATTGCTTCTATAGTAATAAAGAATACTTAGAATTTACAAATTCATTACATTAATTAGAAACTATAGAGACTAAAGAAACATTGAATTCCATTAATATTTGCACATCTGCTTGCAGGTTGAATACAATGTACCTAATTTTACTTAAGACCTTTGTAATTACTGTATTTTGGCAAATAAACGTATTCTATTCTATTCGAATCCGACCGGATCGAAGGAATTTCTTCTGAGTGTTTTTTCTGAGTGTTCGATCTTTGTATTAATAATTATAACAAACCTATTCTTTTTCAAATTTCTTATCAAGGGTATTAATTGGTACGCATTACTTTAAGAATCGTTAAAAGCCAGCGTGTGAACATGAAGGGAATGTGATGTGAAATCAGTCTGCAAAAACTTTGAGAAAGTAAGGCGACGATTTGCGGCAGAAATTCGATTTTCTTACATTTTATTAGGTACGCGATTGTCACGTCACAAATAAGCTTTTTGGACTTTGACTTACAATTATATGGACGTCGGGTCCGCGCTAAAAAGTGTCGGAACTTATACAGCGTTAAAATCGTATACAGAGTGTCATTCACGCTTTAGTCTTCGTTTGTTCGACTGACAGCGAAGCAAGAAAAATTAGACAGTACTGCGATGACATTACAATTTAAATTCAACGTTTTAGCTTTTTCATATTCCTTTACATGTCACTACGTTTAAATAGGTTGACTTGGGACATTTTTTTCGTGGTTTTTGTATTAGACCCGTCGTCCATTTATTTGTAAGTCAATGTTTTTAGACGTTTTTTTCGTGTTATGCTATTGGACTTGTACGTTAAGATTTTTTATTGTTATTCTCCAATTCCTCTACCAATGCAATTTTTCAGCTTATGAAGCGTGTTGGAGCGTGGTTTTCTCGCCTCATCCATTGTCTAAGATCGATTTAGGTATGCTCGATAGGATAAATCGGGACTTAACCCCAAGAATAATAAAAATTAAGTGACGGGACGAACAAGTCGTGCACCTGATGATAAGCGACACGAATGTTTAGGTTCCACACGTGTACTTCATAGCATTTAAGTTTATTTGAAAAGAGCAACTCCAAGAGTTTCTTTCTCGTTCTTCTCAAGGAGGCCAGCGTAGTAGAGCAGTAGCTTAAAAAATTACGTTTTCTAGTGTAAAAATTTTACCTATGGAACATTGACTTAATGGACGACGGGTCTAATACAAAAATCACGAAAAAAATGTCCCAAGTCAACCTATTAAACGTAGTGACATGTAAAGGAATATGAAAAAGCTAAAACGTTGAATTTAAATTGAAAAACATCGCGGTACTGTCTAATTTTGCTTGCTTCGCTGTCAGTCGAACAAACGAAGACTAAAGCGTGAATGACGCTCTGTATACGATTTTAACGCCCTATAAGTTCGGACACTTTTTAGCGCGGACCCGACGTCCATATAATTGTAAGTCAATTCTATGGAATAAATGATTATTTGACTTAATCCGCACCTCTCAGAGCTTTAAATCACGAAGATCTGAGGGGCACTGCACTGCGCCTGACGCCCTGAGACATTAGTTGTCCCATATACCTGTAATTTCACCAGCACACGTACCCTTCAAAACCGGAATACAGTAATGCTGACATTACTGCTTGGCGGCAGAAACAGGTAAGGTGGCAGTACTTCCCTGGACGAACTGCTACTTTATATAATTTGTATATAACATAATCACAAAATCTATTAATTTAACAACATGAACATGCTCTAGTAATTACAAAGACAAGATACATTCTTCGCTGTATTAATATGTAAATTTTAATGCTCCAAAATTGTCGTTTTGCGTAACTATGAAAACACGATGATTCAACTTATTAACATAAAATTATTACGCAATGGTAAAGGAATTTGAATCCGCGTGATATCGAAAGTGGTCGAAGTTAGACCGGTTACACACAGCGACTCTTCACAGCGACACAAACGCTATGCAGTAGCGTTACAGTCGATAATCTATCTTTACACACACGCGTGTTATGTAAGTTCTTAGTAAATCTGGGCTGCATCAACGCCTCCACACCATGGAGTAAAGACATGAGGTTGCATTTCCTGTCCGATAACGCGCTCTGCGCCGGAGCATTGATGCATTCTGACAATTAGTATTAAGATAGATTTAAGACAGTAATAACATGTATTGAAATCGTGATTTAAAATAAACTTTTGATTTATTAAAATAGGACATTTTTTTTATGAAAGCCCTCCGAAAGAGCTTAACTCGCGCGATTTTAAGCGCGTGATTGCCACATTTGGGATTTAGTGTCGGAACACAAAAGTGCGAATCTAGGTAGCGACATGGGTCCTAAAAAGAGTGTTGCACTGCTGTTACTGATAAGAAAGTATAGGAAAAAAACACAAGGAAGATTAACATCGCAGGAATGCGCGATGCGGAGCAATTCGCAAATTCTTGCGATGCGTCAAGCGAGCTCGTAGATTCGTTTAGATAGTTTTGTGTGACGACACTTATAGGCGATTGCATCGTTACACTTGGGATTTATAGGCGTTTGCATCGATGCAATCGCCTATAGACCAAAACTGCAGCGATACAATCGCGCGTTTCATGAACGCGCGTTTGCATCGCTGCTAAAACTCGCCGTGGGTAATCACTCTTAGTGGTTCAAGTTATACGACAGGTTTAAACTGTGTGGCTCCAAAACTTCCGCGAGATCTTTAGATGGCATTTTTTTTGTTACATACATAGATAAACACTGTATACACTAGTATGACACAAATACAGATTGAATACAACTGGAATAACCTTTTTATATAAAAACAGCCGACCTTAAAAGTCCGTGGAATTACATCTATTTGCAAATTTTTACTGTAATCGGTTACCGGAAAGTTTGTAAAACCGGATTCGTCCCCTAGGTTGTCACACTTGGAAATGGAATACTTTCTTCAAATGGGACCATAACTGAGGTATCCTCTTTGGAACAAAAAATAATCGCGTAATATACTCACAAAGAATACAGTCCAATTGAGAACCTCCTATCTTTTAAAATCGGTTAATAATTCATTAGTAAATCTGTAAATGGGCCTTGAATTTACAGACGGAAAACGCACAGCTATTTGTCTTTTTAATATGACATAAACTAGATTTACATAAATATTTTTGCCTTTGGGTTTTATTATTATTTATGATTTTTTGTTTTAATATTCATCACTACAACAATCTAATGAATAATATATCGCACTGCTATTAGAATAGTGTTGTAACACAAAATATGTGAAATTCAAGATTATACCATTACTGAACGTAAAATTTGAATCTCTACACGTCAATAAAACCGTCGTTAGAATATTGTGAAAAATCATTTAAAGATACCTACTTAGATTAACTACAAAATTAGATTAACTTTTTGTGAGCTAATTCTGGACAAAACAATCCCTTAGTCAAATATATGGAATTATATTTACCCTTTTATTTTTAAATAATTATATTCGGCAATTAAGAAATTGTTAAGATGTCTGCAATAAACTTTAAACTTTACATAAATTTTAGTATTCTTTCACGAGAAGCGACTAATAATTAATAATTCATTTTCATCAATTCTGAAAAAATACACTTTTTGTGTTAATACACTATTAATACAATAACTTTATTTCGGCAGTTTCATTAGTTTTGATAACTAAAAAAGGTTAATAGTAGATGAAGTCGGTGCCGAGCAAAATAGAATACTTTTGTTCATACACACATAGACACAGAGAACCTTCTTTTACTATGTCGATTAAGAGCCTGTACAACCTTCAACGGCTTTGGTTGATTGATGGTCATATTCAGTGAAATTGTTGAACCAATCACTTTGGAAAAAAATATATAGTAAAATAGAGGATACGCACTGATTACTATACGATGTGAAAACGCTATTCCAAAAAATTTTCACGATAGAAAAAAAAAACACAAATTTATCTCGAAATTTTACAAGAAGATTTCTGCATTCAATAGGTACTTTACATAATAATGTACCAATGATTTTTTTATGTCAAGTAACATGAAAAAATATAGACATTTAAAAGATAGACATTTTTCAAATGGCTTTAACGTTCCTGCCGCTCGACGAAAAATTGGAAATCGAGCTGAGTTTGTGTCGACTATTAAAAAACTATATATATTGCCTACGGGCTATTAACCAAAACGCAAACAGAACAAGCTTAGAAGTGACCAATCGATCAAATCCGCCTTGTTAATGTCAGCCTGTGTATCTATTATGTACCATCGTACCTTGAACTTTATTGTAAAGACGCTTATAGGAAGTTAAACTTAATTCTACAATATATAAGTATAAAAAGCGTAAAGCGAAAAACATGCGTCGCACTACTATTACAATATTGTCGTAACTCAAAATTGTGGAATTAAGAAAACACGATTGGAAAATTTAAAAAAACAGAATGAAATTTAAATAAAAATAATCGCAATAAGATCCTTTAATTTTCAAATTGTGGTTTCTCAATTCC